TGTTGACAAAGTTGTTTTGCTCCCAGGGCGCGTTCATGGTCAGGTCTTCCATATCGCCATAGCCGCCGGTGAAACCATTGGATGCGTTGGGAGCGCTGCTTCCCATGTTGTTCTGGACATGATCGGTGAGGACGGCGATCTTCTTCCTCAGCTCACCAGTTTCGTTGGTGTGGGATCGAATCATCTCGTCCCGCTCCAGAGTCAAGGTCTCAACATAGTCGACGTAGCTCTGCTTCTCTCGGAGAAGCTGGTCCATCTTGGCCTTGAGCTCGTTCATCTCTTCTTCCATCTCAGTGATGACAGAGGTGAACTGCTTCTTCTCATCCTCTAGGCGCTCAGTGTGCTGCTTCTTTCGCTGGCGAGAGTCAAGACTAGTAAAAAGGTGTTAGATATGACAAGTTTACACGTGAACAATGAGATTAGAGACTTACGCTGCTTGTCTGTTGCGAAGCAGTCGCTTCTGTTGCTTGAGCTCCTTGACTTCGGCCTCGTCGGTAGACTGAGCAATCAACTGGTCGATGTTGCTGAGGTTGCGCTCGGCAGGAATCTCGAATCGGGCATTCTTCTTACGAATACCATCACCTCGACGAAGGTCATTGTGAGAGCGAATTGCTGGGCTGCTTGGCCGGGTCTTCTTGCCGCCCATCTGACCGTTGCCGATGAAGTCCTTCTGAGGTGATGGAGGAATGGACTGAGCTTGAGATGCGAGACTCGCAAACATGTTGCCTGGGTGGGTGAATGGAGTCTGCCCTGGCATGGCCCTGAACATGGCGGCGTTGGCTTCATACTCGGGCTGGATGCCGTCAACCTGAGGGAATGGGTTCCACCCATTGGCCTGGGGCGCCAGGGTGTGGTTCTGCTCAGGGCGCATGAAGGTGTTGCTGCTGGTGTGGTCGAAGAAGGGGTTGTTGGAAGGAACGGACTGCATGTCGACCGAGTGCCAATCGTCTGTCTTGGGAGAAAAGAGTGAAGGACCTCCAATAGCGAAAGACTCTCTGCGGCTATCGAGCATCTGAGGTGACAGTTCAAGAGTTGAGTCAACAGCGCTCTGATCGAGAATGTTGTCGTCCAGCACGTTATTGTCGTCGTCCTCGAAGAACATGTGAGCGTGATGTGTGTCTAACGATAGAGCAGATCGGTAGAGGGGCTGCATGTTTGCCACAAACGAGGTAACCATGGTTAGCGCCTGGGCGAATTTGTGCTGAGCAGAAGCTCAAAAATTTGGGGCTGGCGTCAGATGGGAGCAGATGCTTAGACTGGCACGCCTGATATAGGCAGGGTTTGAAGTCAGTTGACTGTTGTCAAGCCAGTTTCGAATTGATGGGGTGTTGAGAAGGGGATAGATGTGTGGTGATGTGGGAGAAGGAAGAGATATATATGTTGAGAAGGTGAAGGTGATATGTGTGGATCAGGCAGCGACGGCGAGTGAGCGGAGTGAAGCTGGGTGAAGCAAGGTGGGGATTGAAGAAAGACGGGAAGACAAGAAGGCCATACGAACTTCAGGTGAGGAATTAAGAGCGGCGGGGATAAGAATGAAATGAGAAAGAAATAAACAAAGATGCAAGACGATCTGGTCTGATATGACGCTGCTCGAAGGCAAGAGGGGCAATGGTCTAGGTATGAAGAGCGGGAGAGGGATGGGTGATGGAGATGCTTATAAGTTGGGAGGGGAAGGTGTGGGAAGAGGGAAGGTGCATCTGGGCCAACGAACGTATGAGGCAGAGTGAGGACAAGGACGGGAACGAAAAGGGAAAGACACCCAGAGGGGAATGGTGGAAAGGCAGGCGCTACTCACCAGGACTCGATCCAACTCGTGATGCCGAGATGGAGGGATTGGGCTGAAGCGATGGGGGTAGGAATGGTACCTCTGGTTGGATGGTACCCCCACAGCGGGCGAGGTAGATGTTCCAAGGCAGGTCGAGAAAGTGGATCCCACGGTGCGCACACAGACACACAGATACACACCAGATGCGACCAGCTCAAGCCCTTCAAGCTCCCGGGAAGTTGCGGAGGGCTAAGGAAAAAGTGCAGAAAAAAGGCAGCGGGGAAGAAAGCAGCGATAGAGGCGAGTAAGGAGAATGATTCATAAGTAAACAAATGAATAAGGGAATTTCCAAATAAGCAATAAAATGTAAACACACACCCACGAAGACCTCGAGTAGTGTAAAAGCTAGTCGGCGTTGCTGATGTTTTGAACCTGGCCCACGAGAATTGGGAGCAAGCGAGGAGGAGTCTGGGGGGAGAAGAGAAATTCAACGAAACACTTTTTTGAGGATGATGATGGAGGCAAAAGCGCGGGAGGAGTGGAAGGCAGGACGGTTATGTATCCGGCATTGATGGGTGGCCGGGCGTGGGACGTGGAGTACGATGTAGGCGGTCGAGATTATACATGGGCACTGGCCGGGGTGCCTGGGCCATCCAAGTTAATGGGCTCGGGTGATGAAGGGATATCCACAAAAACCTGTGGTATAACTTTTCTTTTTCTTTTTTGTTATTTTTGCTCCCTGCTCTTTCAAACGGGACACCCCGTTCTCTCCTTGCTTAATGATCCAATATTATATGATACCCGCGTTTATGGGAATGCCATCTTAAAAGCGACATGCTATCGTTCCAGGTATGCACGTGTGTGGTCATGGACCTGGGGGAGGGTGTCGCGAGGAAGCACCGCCCAGTGACCGCCAGATACTCAGTCACCGACTCTCTGGTCTATGGCGACGGGTGTTACTCATAGGTCACTCCGATTTCCGCAGCCGTGACTGGTGCTGATCGCTCCTTGGGCTCCAACTTGCAAGCTCGCAGCAGGTCTCCCGTTGCAGACCCAACAACCTGTTTTGTCTGGGCTATGAGTGGTGGGAAGAAGCCCGACTAGAGGCAAAAGGGAGGCAGGGTCAAATATGCTTGGTCTGTGCGCGACAATGTGTGCCTCAGAATTATGTAGAGCTATTGACTGCAATAGGCACACAGAGTAAATAGTCGATCCTGCGAGGCAGGAGACGTCAGGTAGCGATGAGATGCGTTTGATGCTTGCCGGTGGTTATCGACGATGCGACCGATGGCCATCCTTGCTCGCCTTGTCCCAAGTCTCTTGCTATCACAGTCTCTCCATCACCGTCAGATCCTCCTCTCCCTTGGATGGAGAGACACTACCATCACACATACCCGCACACACTTACAGGCTCTCTCACATACACTTGCCCACACCTGTGACGCTCACAACTCTGGTTCGTGGTCACAACATCACACCCACGCAACACCCAGGAACTTGCACCCGCGTCTCAACCTTTCAGGTGGCACACCCAGTGGCATGTTAGGGCAGATGGCATGCTCCTTATTGGCAATTACGAGTCTCCGAGGCTTGGTGGTGGGATGGAGGGGCACTGGGCCCATCTGACCGCTCCCTCTGCCAAAGGCTTCAGTTTGGTGATCTTCTCTCACCACTGGTCCCGGCTCTGCTTCCCCGTCGACGGTAGGCCCATTAGCAATGGCGCCAGGCCTCGGCCAACTCTGGTCCTGCTCCTGTGTGACTCTTCTCTTCCATTCTCCTTGCCACTTAGGAAGGGCTAGAGACAGGCTAAACCCCACGTTCCTGGTGACATTGCCCAAGCAACCATAAACGGCAGCCAGTGAGCTTTGGCAGCGGTCCTACCCGAGCTGTCTCGACCTGTGGCCATGTGTGTGCGTCGTGTGGCCAAGCCTGCTAGCGGTGTCGACAGAGAGCAGGGCAGCCTGGACTGCCAGTCAGGTCAGAACTCGCACGAGCAAAAGAGGAGTGGGGATGGGCGTCGATGGAGTGGGTAGAGTGAGGTTGGGCAGAAACGGCCCGCTATGATAGTACAGATCCCACCCATGTACCGGCAGAGTAGCTTAATGCCCATCATTACGTAGGACAATACCTTGGGCTACCTTCTTTGTTTGCTCACGGGCAAGTAGCACGGCTACCAAGCAGCCACTAGAGGGAGCTGAATTACGTACCTCCCGTGCTTCAGGGTGCTAATAGGTGCTCTGCGGACAGGCAGGAACACTTTACCGGGTCCACGCAGAGCACGTCCCCAAAAGATCAAACAGCAGCCTCCATCCAATGGTTTGGCAGGGCGGCAGCAGGGCCGCCTGTCCTCTGTAGGCACCTACTAATCATGTCTGGGTACCGCCCAGCAGGCTTACCTTTTGGCCGTCGCAGCACGCGCCAGACGTTGTTGCTTCAAACTAAGGTTTCCATCTACCTGCCAACGTCCCTCCCGAACAATAGATGCTCACCCGCACTGAGCCTCTTCAGTGGATACGGATGACTCTGACCGCCGCCAACCCAGGCAGGCTAAGCACCTTGGGCTTGTAAATATAGAAATCCTCGTATAAGCGCTGGCAGGGACTGCGGTTTCCATCTGGTATTTTATTTTTATTGATATTTTATTCTGTTGATTTTCCTCACCGCGAAATCGCAAAAAGGCTCGATATGCGATGAGCCGACTCTCTTCTGGGTTCATGCCCTGCTTGACTGGGAAGCTGGGACAGCTGGGGGTCGCATCGAACGGGTGCATCAGCGTCACAGGAGCATTGGATAGTGACGCGATAGGTAGATAGAGCTCTTCTGGGGGGCACCGGGCAGGTCGGGAATGGGAGGGTCTGACCACTCCTGTGGATGGCCCACGCACATCATTCATCCCCCATTCCCGAAGGTATTATACATTGGACAATACATCCGCTTCACATGCTGCCAGCAGGCGGCAATAAAGGGCCTGTTTCCAAGTTATCACGTACTAGCCTGCACAAATCAGTCACTGAAAATCACCTCACCCTATACCGCCAGATGAATTGCCGGCTGAACAAATCTCGGGATGCAGGGGGCTCCTCCCTCGCTCCCAATTCCGAACCTCGAGGTTAACAAAGGGCAGCCACACGGATGTAGCTGAGGCATTAGTTTAGGTATCTCTCGCGCTGCATTGCTAGCGCTTTGTGAGGGAGGGTATACCATTGATACTAAGCAGATGTGAGACAGTACCTTCTCAGCAGCCCCATTCCTCTTTCTGGCTCCCCAGGATCACCCAGCTGACCTTGACCTTCTCAAACCGGATATCAGTGGGTGGGGGAACGAAGCTGTCAGCCGATCGGGTATCTTCCCACCCAAATCGGGTGCAAGTGTACATCTGCACTAAGGTATTTGACTCACTCTCCACACACTCCAGCCACCTCCCTCCTGTTTTCTGTCAAGCTGCAAGACGAAGAGGGTGTATCCTTGCTTCAGAGGCACGATTTTGATCGTCCGATGAATGTAACGTTTGTCAGCGACCTCCGTTTTCTTTTCTTTGGCAATTTTCTTCCATTTCGAAGCACTAGTGCTATCCGACTCTGATGGCTGAAGCCCAAGAGGCCTTGGCGCTTGCAAAGCCACAACTCCCTACGAATCCCACTGACAGGCGTGAGGGCACGAGCCATGGCGATGCAGCAACGTGAATGGGTATCCCCATGAATTTCATCACGCACGTCCTGAAGCGAGCCAGTGACTATTAGTGATGATAGGATGCGGACGCCCCCGAGGACCAGAATGTGATCCAACCAGGGCCTCGGACGGCTCCACTGTGCTGGATGGCCGCATGAGGGCCGGCCGCCTCTGAAGTCGGTGTGTTTCCGGCTTGTCCAGCCGTCTCCTGTCTGTGGCCCAACTACTTTACGCGTTGCAAGCGCGTGTGATTATTATGATTTTCTGGTCTCGTTGGGCACCGACTGACTGCTCGCCCCTTGGGCTCCTTTCCCAATATGGATATCCCGTTTCGAACCCTTGAGGACGCAAATCATATCAGGCTGATGGCACTCCTCGATATGCAGTCCTCAGGTGTGACGACCACTCAGACTTGGCGATACGGTCGACCGGTTAACTTCCCGGTGCAGTGAACACTGGCCCAACCTCAAGCCAAGCTCGTGAGCTTGTCTCGTCCAATCCTTCTCCGGAAGGCCAAGATCAGTACTCGCATGCCTCAGCTCAGCTATGCACTGGGGTAGCTTCGCTTGGTGTTGCTCCCAGCAAGTCTGCCTCATGGCTGCGGGAAAGGCATACGCCCTCCAGTAACTGCTTACCATATTCCGGGTGGAGAGGGTCCTTAGTCCAAGCAGCCGTGCGGCAAAGTCCAGGAAAAAGAAAATATTTCTTGTGAGCTACGAGAATGGACCCCAAGCTGTCGGCCGCATCGTCTACACTCCCCCCCGATCTGCCACATCTTGCCCGCGCCCATCGGAAACATGGCAATCGACAATGCATGGCTGTCGATAGGCGAGATTTTTTTCATGTACATTGGCTCAGGCGCAGGATCTTCAGCCCCCGATCTCCCACAGCCTCTCCGGCTCTCGAGCTTCCCGTGAATGCATTACGATCGTTTTTGTAAATTCGTCAACTGCGGACCTGATATCCATCCGGTTCAACCCCCATGCACCGCCAAGGCAATAACGCTCCAATCGATCTTTTTCCCTTGTATGTAGCCTCGCCTATCTTACCTACGCTGCGGGCATCGGATCTAGCTAGCCTGGTCTCGAGAACACTCACTATCACCCACAGCCTATTCGGAATCTATGTGACCCGGTCCTACATCATCGACCTAATATCATACTGAATTATTACCTAGCTGACCACCTAACCCACAAGCCAATCAGTGAACTGCCATTTCAATCTTAGCCGTGGCCTTGATCGGCGGACTCCGACATGATGGACTCCTCGTTAAGCACCGGCGGGTGTTGGAACAAGGTCACATCCCGGTTCACCACCTCCAAACCGGAGTTGTCGTCACAGAAATCGCGGCAGCGAGGCATTGCAAAGAGACGATGTTTCATAAATGCGTCAATACTACCTTCAGCCATCCGGCCAGCATAAAGTCCTGGAAACACGGGTGGGTGAACTCGGGGGGAAGCGGATGGCCAATAGGCAACGAACCGCATCTCAACACAGATGCTCCACAGCCTTATAGCTCGGCTACTATTGATGGCTTTTTTTCTTCCACCTCGACTTTTTCCCGCCACAAGACCACCAGTCTCTCAGAACCGGACTAAATACTGGCTAGCTTATGCATTGACAAGTGTCATGCCATTCATTATGCGAGCCTCCCGGTGCGGTGGACCCCGCGATCAAGAGTCAGGAAGGGGCCTGCCAGGGCCAGATATTTTTACATGGACTCCGGAAAAAATAATGCAACTCTCTGCAGGAGCCATGTTCCCTGGTCTGGGCGCATCTCATGGGGGCGCTTCAGATGTCATGCGTGTCCCGCCCGGCTGAGGCTATTGCCACTCGTCTATCCGGCAAATTGCGAAGCCAAAGCTCGTGGCGCTGGGGTAAAGCAGGGAGGCCCTTGCGACGAGAACTCTAGAAGATCGTTCGATCCTCGCCGAGGTTGTCTTCAACCGTTTCCACCGTTTCCACTCCGGATGCCATTGTCGAATCACCAAATGAAAACATACAGCTGCAGCTGCAGCTGCGAGGAGGCATAACAATCTCTAAGCGTGTGGAACGCTCACGTGGACTTGCATATGGGCAAGCCTCCTCCAAACCCTTCCCCAAGAAATTAAACCATGATCATGAGTAGTTGTAGAGCAAACCACGGCTAGTAAATCCTACGAACCGGGGAGGAACGGAATGGAATCGCCCCAGGGTGCTTAATATGCAATTTCCTACATGACGTACATTCCCACCCTGCGAAGCATTGATCATATCTTCCGCCATGTGGGTTTATACGTTCGCTTAATGTTCAATTTCGCTATAATGAGCCTACGTAACCGCTCCGCCTCTGACTGCATCGCGACTATGATCATCAAGGCAGTTAGTTAAAGGCAGCATAGCATTGCGCCAACTATTGGCAATGAGCCTGCATTGAACCTGCTGATCGCAGACCACTTCGAACCATCCGGGCGTGTGAAGCAGCTGATGAGAGCTGAAGATGCTGAGCGACTCTAATGACTTTGCTTTTTCCTCGGAAATGATGGCATGGAGATGATTACGCTCCTCATTCCAGGCAACCACCGGAGAGGTTGCACCACAAGCAGGTGGCAAGCAGCATGCTTGCTCGCTTGATCATGTTCTCGCACTCCTGCTTGCATTCCTGCTATCGAACTCCCCCCAGGGAACGCAATGCATTGCTGGAGCTGCATCCGACCACCGCCAGCTGAGGGAACCTGCAACTCACCAGCCCCCCTACCCTCACCCTCCAGATGGGTCCAGTTCAAGATGAGTGCAGTCTTTTCGTTCTCGGAGGCAGAGCGACCGCATGGCAGCATTATGCGCAGACGAGACCCTCCTGTAAAAAAAAAAAAATAAACAACTGCTGATATTGAGATGTCATGGGCCTCTCGGCCCGAGTTTTGGTGGCACAAAGTTATTGTACACCCCATCTCGGGATGTATTGGAGAGGAGTCTAATTTGACAGAGCTGCTGCGGAAACCTCTCAGATCGGATGAGGCGGGTTCCAAGAGTGCTGCCGTGTCTGCTGTGACTGCTTTGTTCTCGCAACGTGCACCTTGTCGGTCCCGTGATGTCAGATATAGGCCTGTCTCTTCTTTCCTGTAGAACCGTGGGATTCGTCGTAGAGTATGACTGGCTGTTGGGTGTGCTGACTGCGGTGTGTTCTCCTAGGAGTGACCTGAGATGATAGATTGCACCCGTAAATGGATGAGTTCAGACCTGAGTTCGATCTGATCACCAGATGTAGCAAGCTGTCTGTGGTAGGCAAGCAAGTTCCCAAAGCCGCGTATGAAGAGGACACTCATCAATATCCCTCCCCATAGTCCGGCTCAAGGCGCGCCCATGGTCGCTCAGCGAGAGAGCCATGAGGCCATTGCGAGAAATATCAAGACGTTATCCAAGACTCCAAACCGATGTCAGTGAGTACAGTTCGGTTGTTGACACCCAAAATGAGTTGGATCCCGTATCGATGAAAGATGATTTTCTCAAGCAGAGAAATGTGTTGCACATTGTCTATATATTGTGTCAAAGGAGGATGAGATGATCTCACACACAAAGGTAGTGTAGGTCGTCGGATTGGTTCCGCATGTGTTGCGCTTTCCGAGAACACGCCTCGCTTGAAGCCGACAGTTTGCGGCAACTTGGACGTACATGGCAAGAGCCGCTGCGGAGAGATGGATAGGATAAAAAGCTGATCAGCGGGAACAGGAAACCACATGCCACCCTCCCGTCAAGTTTGGGTTCGGATTGAAAGCCTGGACTTGATTCGCCTGTGAACTGTCGTTGAACTCTTGTTCAATCCATCCACTCGTCGATTCTCGCTGCGACGGATGATTCCAGGGGGACGACACACCTTCGACATGAGGTTCTCCGACTTCCCCGTGTTGATACCGGCATTCACTGCGCATGTGAGTTTCTCCTTGGCAGGTTCTCTGTGGTGGGATATAACACCAGGAGCCAGTCTTCCTACGTACTTGAGAGATGCAATCCAGAGTGGCAGATACTAAAACAGGCCGCGGCAGATCCACATCGACGCCCCCCTCGCGATATCCCACGACCTCCTCAACATTCCCTTCCTCCCCAATAGAGGCGGCATCGTCTCGGAGCCAGGGTACCCTTTCCTCCTTCGGGCAACCTTTGTCCACGGCAGCGACTACCTCCGGCGCGACCACGACGGCCGGCACGTCCGGCTGGAAGTCACGAGCACGGCGCGGGACGATGAGAATGGCAGTCTCGTCCGCTTCAGTTACAGTGGGATCGTGGACGTCACGGGGGACGCGGGGAGCGTCATCCGAGGTGACGGGAATGCAACGACGACGGGGTTCGGCAACGCCTGTGAGTTAACTACCTCTCTCCTCACGGAATGGTACATGGCATGCGGTATAACAATATGCCGAGCCGGTAGTTCGTGATGGCTGACCGGATTGCCCAGTTGTGCAGGTCAGGTTCGAGACCGAGGACGCTTTCCTACGGCCCATTGAAGACAGAGTGTACGTCGGTTCCGGGCGGTTCATAGTAGAGGCGAATGCGCCCACTGTGGTCGAATACAAGATAAGCGAGGTGGCAGCCGCGTGTATGGCGGTGTATTGACTCTGGATTCATGGTCGAAGGAAGCATGACATGAACACACCATTTGTGAAGAACCAGGCCTTCCGGACTGCCAGATTCGATCAACGAGAGGTACACTGGTGCTGCGTGCATGATTTCAAACCAGACTGGCTAGACATTTGGTCAGAGTGTTTAATGTACTGACATGCCGCACTGTTGTTGACTGGACGTCTCAACCCTCTGGTTTCCCGTTGGGTCATCGTCACTTTGCGGGATCGAAAATCCAACGCGTGATTGCCCATCAGTGTCTAAATTCGGTGACTTGACCATCCTGGTCCCTACTTATTTTGCTGAACTTTATTTTACTTTTTTGGTGATTTCCAACCCCAATCAACACCCAATATACTCCTTTGTAAATAGACTTAATTTACATTGATTAATTTGACACCCCAGCAGCCTGTAAAAGCCGTTCTCCAGCCTTGACATTTGCGTATTCGTATGCCTTAGATTCGGGTGGGAAAGTTCCGCTAGCGGCCCAAAGATCCACGAGGGGCTGCATCGGTTCCAGCTCCTGGGGCTTCAGCATATCCAGGGCAGTTGCCGTGAGGATAAAGTGGGAGAAACAACTGTTGAGAGACTTTTCGAGATCAAGGTGGTAGAAGGGCTCGGTAAAGTGAGCCCAATAGAGATGGGCATAGACACGGAACATCTGACGGAAGATCATTTGACATACGTCAATGAACTTCTCCGGAAAGCCGGATCTCTTTCCCACCCAGTCAGGCTCTCCCGCATTCAGTGGTGCGCTCATGGACGGGTTATGAGCATACGACACACCAGATGAGTCCGTGGGGAAGATGTTCGTATCATCAATCTTTCCAGAGATCCATCTCTGCATCAACGTCATGTATTCGTAAGCTGGGAGCTCTACTGGCTCGCGCCGGCTGTTCAGCCAGGTAAATGAGTGGTTTCTAGTTGTCAAAGTTAGACACGCCGCACCAGAATCACAAATTTAGGAATCTTCGAATAACTCACGCTCCCGCCGACATTCGTGGACAAGTTGATGAATTGCAGATCGTCGCACCACTATCTTCCTTCTCGTGGAGAACACGGACAAAATTCCAAAGGTTGCGATAATGCTCAACAACTATATTTTGTCAACAACAGAAGAGGACGGGGAGCATATAAACCATCCATACCTTGGTGCGCAATCCATTCTCCCTGTTCAACAGTCTTAGGGCGAGCACTCAACGTCATGAAGTTACCCTTAACAATGTGCTTAGCATACTTTGGGTTGAGCCAAAGCGGTAATGGCCGTGGTAGATGATAGGATGCAAGGAGTTCGTCTCCATTTTGCTCCATTCCAATTGTCTGTGCCAGTGAGGGTGAATTTGGTAAAGGTGAGAGCTTCGGGGCAGTTGTTGTTGTCGTTGTTGTTGCTGCAGGCGGAAGCTGTGGAGGCAGCTGCTCTGGCAGAGGGGCTGTAGGAGTCGTGGGACTCTTCTGCTGGCCTACCGACCTGCCTGAGCCTCCTCGGAAACGGGCGTTACTTGAGTGAATTGTTAGAGTGCTGCAGACACATATATGGATCAAGGAGGGACGCGGGATGTATGAAGACAAGAACGGTATGGCTGCCAATCGTGCCAGACAACCACTAGGCCAGTCAGATCCTTTTTTAGGTGATACAACGCTCTGCGGCTCGCAGCGAAATTCCAGGCGCACACCACTCGGTATGATATCTCTACCCAGGGGACGGGCAAATTCATTGCAAATATGTGCAAGTCGGTACTATCTTCAGAGGTCGCATGACGAAGCCAATGGCCATACATGAACTACATGTATAGCCATTAGCCTCTATGCGCCATCCGTTAGCCGCACATCAATCTCGCGCGCGCTGCTGGGCAAGGATATTTCTATAACGCGCGGCCATTATGAAAAAGGGTATGTAGCCCCGAGCCCAATTGAGTTGAGCACCCAGCTCCGCAGGGCTGAAAACCACGAGGCAGCAAAGGGCAGAAAAGAATATCGGACTTCCCGTGCGAACTGCCGAGATAGACTGGCCTAGTGGCTTGTTGCCAAGTATGTGGAAGCCACATCGATTTTGGAGGTTGACAGAGCACGCGACATAAGCTGACGATGGACCCTCCCCTGAGTGGGAGGCTTCTGGCTGGCAGGCGGACATGAACATGATGGAGATCATCCAGCACTGGATGCGACTGGAATCACGAGCCAATGAGAAGAGAAACTTACATGCCAGAGAAGAGGTTCGACATTATGGTAGAGAGAATGCGAGCGATAGAGGGGCGACAGATAAGCAGCTGTTGATTGATTAAGAGGCGAGAGACAAGGCAGCTTAATAGCTACCAGCTGCTACTAGATGGCGGGGTGGGCAGCTATGGTGCAGTCCACCAGAAGCGGCGGTGGCGGCAGAGCTGTTTGCTGTCGTCTCCAGGCAAAAGGATGCGCCGAGCTCAGGCTGGCGATGGCGGCAATGATGGCGAGAACGATGGTTTGGCCGAGCAATGCAGAGGCGAGAGTTCGAGGAGCAGAAGTTGGAAGCTTCGATTCCTTTGGATCCATGCATTGACAGAAAGGGATGAACGCCCGGCGGGTTGCTGCCGTGGGGTCAATCGGTCTGGGTGGTTGTTTAGGCGCTGTTTCAGAGCTCGAGGCTTACTGACCGCCGGCCAGCAGCGACGAGACCCCTAAAGCGCCAGGTGTTCATCGCCGGTGAGGTTGGGCCGCCATACGCAGGCACGCTCAGAGCCTGCTTATCCACCATGGTGGCTGATGCTGATACGTAGCGGGTTCCAGATGCAAGTGGAACAGGTTGCTCACTGCTACAATGTATCCATGGATACCTACTACTTGGTAAACATCGAGCTACAAGATCATGATGTGCCTTTCACCAGGTGCAGAAGAAAACAGGCTAGCCCTGGGGCTGTCGCAATAACACCTACCTAGGCAAGGTTGCCTACTTTGGTAGGAGTCGGTTTACCTCGACGTATCACAAGCGAATGAGGATTCAGATATCGCTACAGGGGCCTCGAAGCGCAGCTTCTTAGATGATACTATCCAGGCCGCCAGACCATCGAAAACATGTACTTGATTATTTGGTATCTTATTCTCGAAAGAACAAAGAAGGACGCAGGACTTTCAGCTCAGAGTAAGCTGTGATATTTGGTGGGAGGTAAGATATAGGGTAGGCGCAGGGGCAGGCGCGGCCTAAGGCGAGGTCGCGCGCTGAGAATCAAAATTCCCGATTGTCCTTTGTTCTCCATACTCGGGACGAATTCCACTTCGATCCTCATCGAGCTATTCGCAACCACAAACATCGCAGTCGCGATAACTTATACCGAATCAGAACAATGTCCGACTCAGAGGATCCCATTGACCCCATCGATGAGGGCGGCGATGATCTCTTCGGCGATGACGATGATGGCGACGTGATTGAATCGCCCAAGGAGCGCGTCTTGGATGACGATGACCTTGCCTCGGATCCCGAAGGAGAAACGTATAATCGCTACCGCGATGATGACGATACCAGACAGCAAGATGAGGTCACAAGAGAGACCATGATTGCAGACGTCACTGCTTACCGACACCCTATTCCAAAACCCAGCGACGGCATTGTGAGTACTAGCGCAGTCTCGATGAGAGCAATTCACTTGCTAATATTGTTCCGACACAGCTGCGAGCTTTGCGAGTGCCCAAGTTTCTCAAGTTTCTCCCAGAAGAATACCACACGGAAACGTTTCAAGCATCCGAATTTGACATCGCCAATGCCAGATCCGAGCAGCAACAGCACGTCGTACGATTTCGCCGAGACGATAGCACCGGACGTCTTCATAGCAATGCGAACATCCTCCGCTGGGACGATGGATCTGTCACCATTTCCGTAGGTGGCGAGCAGTACGAGGTTATCAAGAAGCCATTGGCCCCAGCAGCGGATAAGGCATATGATGAGGTCAAGGATGTTCACTACTACGCGGCGGCCGCTGAACTGAGCTCTAACATGCTCATAACAGTAGGCCATGTCACAGAGCAGTACACTGTCCGACCCAGCAAGGAGATTGGTGACGATGCGCTCAATCTGTTGGCAGATAGGATGGCCCAAGCCACCAAGGCTTCACAGAATAGGGACATGATCATCCGCACAACGGTGGACCCTGAGCTGCAGAAGAAGAAGGCCGAACTTGTTGAAAAGGAGAGGATGAAAGCACAGCGCAAGCGCGAGAACGCCCAGGCCAAGCAGGAGACCGGCTACGGACGGTCAGGACGTGGTGGCCTGTCAATTGGAGCTCTGGAGGGTGGTCGTCGCGACGGAGGGCGCAAACGACCTCTGGGATCTGGAAGACCAAGGAATCATGGATACGAGAACGACTCAGACGAAGAGTTGCTGCGTGGTGCTGGCCGTCAAGAGAAATACGAAGACGATGGGTTCGTTGTGGACAGTGATGAAGAGGAAGAGGAGGAGGAAGTATCAGAGGATGATGATGATCTCCTTGATGATGCAGAAGAAGCACCTCGCAAAAAGCGACAAAAGGCCCGCGAACCCGAGGAAGACGAAGATGCATCGGGTGATGATATTGATCCCATCGCGGAGGCTACGGCGCGGAGTCGGCGCAGGAATGTCATCGATGATGATGACGAGGACGAGGAATAGTCATCTGTTTTTCTTGTTTTCTTAATCTTTTTTCTCTTTATGAGATTAGCTGTAATGTATATCGAGACTAGAGGCGTCAAACGGGTGGGCTGTCTATCATAGTTCATATCAAGGAGAAAACTGGGTACATCAGGGGAGAATCTCGAAAGTAGCATTCATTTTTAGCGGAGAGAATATCAACTCTATTGAGAGCTACGTACCGGCCTACCCACGTGCTTCCCTAGCCACCTCGATAGTTCACGAACAGCCGTTGTGGTCGCAAGTACACCGACTTCGATTCTTTCTATCTCCATTTCCAACGAGGTCCCATGACAAGCAAAAACGGGAATAACGCTGGCGTTCTAACCCATGAAAGGCTGTGTGTTTGTATTAGCAACGCGGGATCCTTCCATCGTGAATTCTAGACTTCGAATATTTCCCGTAGTCGTCGATTAGTACATACTGTGGTTTAACAATATGCCTTTAGATCCCTGTGCTCGTCTTGAAATTGCTGATTACTGTCACATGCCGCTAGCCAAGCTTCGATTGTTCTGTTGGGGGAAGACGGGGAAAGCTCCACCCATCTAATTTAGACCCTTCGAAAGTAACGTCCGTCACATGTCATCATCGTTGGGGCTCAATGTACTGGCCGACGTTGGGGCCCTTGACGCTCCCTCTCCATTCCTTCGCTGCGCTTCCCGTCGCCGACACAGCAATTCCTGCTAGGGGCAATTGTAAACTCCTTGACTGCCTGGTTCAGGGAGATACAATGATCGGCGATAACCTAGCCCGATCCACGTCCAGCATCCAGGAGCGGCAGTGATACCTATATTTGTTCCTAAAGCAGCGGCAGTACATCCTCCGGTCGTCCTTCGATGGGTGCTTGTGATTTTGATCCTCGGTAAGAATGGGCATAGTCCTGGCCGTCTGGAGGGTGATCGTTGACGTTGCCAATTTCTGGCACAAGGTATGCCATTGCTCCCTACCTCATTTCCACCACATCTACCGAACCCGTCGGCTGCATTTCCTTTGCCCTGCGTCCCGTCACCTTGATGGAGTCGCCATCTTCGTCGCAAACTGGCGTTTCGTTCTTGCTGACTCCCGTGAAGAAACTCCTAAGCTGGTACACGCGCAGGAACCCCATAGAGCTATGGCTTGAGCTTCTTCGTAATGCAGAGGTTTTCGAAGACTGGGAGGAGGCGGCGCTTCACCTCGACAACCTCCTAGGCCTTGACCTCTGGTACGTGACTATAAACCAACCTTCGCGTTCCACAAGTTCCCACTGAAGCGTGTCGTCACCTTGAGTTGCAACAATACTAACCATGATATTTGCGCTCCAACAGGAGAAACAACCCGACCTCCAAATACTACGACTGGAGGCTCATAACCGAGCGCCTCAACTCGCTATCGTTGGCGCGCGAAGAAAACAACTTCCAACAGCTCATCAACCTCTTGCGCTCCGGGCTCGTGCGAAATCTCGGAAACATTACGGCACCTAAACTCTACAATCGCTCTTTCTCCGGAACCAAGTACTTGATCGAGGAATACGTGACACAGGTGGCCGAAGGAATCGAGGACATCAGCGCCCTGCCAACCTCGGCGCCGACGTCTCCGAGCGGACAAGACAATGCATTTACAAACCAGATGAAGCTGGATTTCATCCATGATACAAGACAGGCTTTTGGTCGGACCACCCTTGTGCTTCAAGGCGGAGCCATCTTCGGACTCTGTCATTTAGGGGTTATTAAAGCCCTTTTCCTGCGAGGATTGCTGCCGCGCATCATCACCGGCACAGCAACAGGCGCGCTGATCGCTGCCCTGGTTTCGGTTCACACGACAGAAGAGCTTCCCGCTGTGCTGAAAGGCGATGGGATCGATCTATCTGCTTTTGTTTCAAAGGACCATGCCCACATCCAAGGCGGACAGACTTTTTGGTCGCGGTGGGATACGCTCCTCCGCCGAATCCGTCGGTTTTCGCGTGACGGTTATTTCCTTGACGTGACTGTATTGGAAGAATGCGTAAGAGCAAACGTCGGTGATCTGACGTTCGAGGAAGCCTATAACCGGAGCAAGAGGGTTTTGAACATCACAGTTGTGACTGAGGAGCAGGGTGGCGTGCCTAAATTGCTCAACTACCTCACAGCACCCAACGTCGTAAGTCATCCTCGGCTTTTCTACCTGCATATGCACCCGTCTAATGGTGATTATAGTTAATATGGACCGCTGCAGTGGCGTCCAATGCCTCCTCGCCAGCCCTCTATGGTCACCGCAAGACTACGCTCCTATGCAAGGATGCCCACGGTCACATAGTTCCCTGGGCGGCAGCAAACACTACTGATTTTCATCACTGGACTCAAGTTTCCTATACCGACCGCGACTCTCCTTTACGGCGCATTGCCGAACTTTTCAACGTGGACCATTTCATCGTCAGCCAGGCAAGACCTTACTTGATTCCCTTTCTACAATCAGATATGCATGGGCCATCTTACCTGGAATCACGGAACAAAACCACACAGTTGTCGGCGTTTCTTGCCCGGATGGTGGGGTTGGAAGTCCAGCACCGATTGAGACAGCTCGATACCTTGCGGTTGCTGCCGGCTGGCATCCGACGCTTCCTCGTCGACGAGCAGGTCCCGGCGGCTTCAATGACGCTGGTGCCTGAAGTCACGGCGGGCGACTTTGTACGTCTGCTCGAAACACCGACTCGAGAGACGGTCAATTACTGGATCCTCAGAGGCGAGCGGAGTGTCTGGCCCGCTGTTGCCGCGCTGCGGATGCGGAGTGCGGTAGAGATTGAACTCGACCGATCCTACCAGGTAGTACGGAAACTCAAGGCTGGAGGTTTACGAAGAAAGGGAAGCATGGGTGGAGTGCAGTGATGGTTTGAGCAGAAGGCATGTCGGAACCTAACGAATCGTCCTACGCGTGTCTGTTCATTCCACGGGCGTGTTTTGGTGGCAGAACTTGGCCAGCCTTAGACTGTGATACGAACCCTTTCCTTGTAACTTTTAGTCCCTTCGAGCCCTGATTCGCCACGTAATGATAGCCTTTGGTAATAGCATTTTGAATAGCTTTTCATTTACAGCAGTCGAGACCCTGGACTTGATTAGTGAGTGTCTCAGTTGCCTGCTTGCTGT